ATTTTTTACTTCTAGTAAAAGAAAATTACCACTAAATCACTTAAGTTTTTAGATTTTAAGTTACAAATTTTACTATAACTATTGATTAAAGGTTGCATTTTTAATAGTAAGTATTTTACAATTTAATACAGAGTATAATTCAAATTATATAATACTTTTTTCATTAAAAAAAAAAGAGTAATATGACAAGAATTGATAAGTGGGGGCATTTTTAATAGTAAGTATTTTACAATTTAATACAGAGTATAATTCAAATTATATAATACTTTTTTCATTAAAAAAAAAAAGAGTAATATGACAAGAATTGATAAGTGGGGTACATAAAGTCATAGAGTGAACATATTTGTATCAATATTGGATACAAATATCCTTAAGGTTTAATGCACTCGGTAAGTATAGCTTTATAACTCAAGTTTAAGATTTAAAATTTGATATTAACATTTAATTTTGTTAAATTTATTAAGTTAACATAAAAATAACTTTAAAATTGTCTAAAAAAGAGATTAGTCAGGACATCTGCATGTAAATGCATAAGTGCGCCATGTTGTTGCATGGTCCGGCTGTGACTTATCTTCCACGCTTGTCATCAAGCATGCATTTAAGCCCCCAAACTTACCCCATATTAACAGGTCAGTCCCTAAATTAAAAAAATACATTTAAACCCTCAAAGTCTGCAATTGATGCAAATCAGTTCTTACAATAAAGCTTTTCGTTAAACGCTTTGATGGTGCTGATAATGTATTTAATAAGAAAATGGTTAATTGCAATCTAGTGAATTAGTCAAATTTAAAAAAGTCAAAATTAAAATGACCCATTTTCTACAATTTAACTTTCTTTTATTATATCAATTTTGACCCAATTAAATTGTATAAATTAAATAGAAAGCCATAAATCTAGAATACTCAACAATCTATTTTAATTAAAATCAATTAGAATCATGATGAAATTGAAGCCGTAGCCATCTCATTCATCTTTTTCATCTTAAGGAGCAGCTTAAGGGGCAACATGATAGTTGTGTATTTTATATTTATGATGTTCTAATTAATTTATGTAATTTAATTGAGTAAAAATCAATTTAATAATTAAAGAAAGTTAAATTGTAGAAAATAAATCATTTTAAGTATTTTGTTAAAGTTTAAGAACTAACTTTGTTTAAAATTTGACTAATGCATGGATTAGATTACAATTAACCCTTCTCTTATTAAATGCATTAATGGTACTATCAAAACCTTTAACGGAAAATTTATCAAAAAGGTTGATATACATCAATTACACATTTTGAGGGTCTAAATGCATGATATTTAGTTCAGGAGCTTATAAGTTAATATTTGGTGAATTTAAGGGCTTAACACTAGGTTTTGCCAAGACTTGTGTATGTGTTACCAAATTTCCATTTCAAACTTGGCAAAATCTAGTGTTAAGCCCACAAATTTACCCCATATAGTCATGTAAGCCCTTGAACAAAAAGCTTTGCATCTAAGCACTCAATCCTCCCTATTAATACAAATCACCCCTTTTCTAACTCATAGAGTTAAACATCTGTTAGTCCATTTTAAAAGAGTAATTTGGTTTGTACGGCAGCACTGGGAGAAGTAGTCTCTGTGCAGAGCTTCATTGTAAAGGAGGAGCATCCAAATCAACAGCGAGGAAATGGTTTGCCTTTTGTGCGGAAAAGAAGAGGAGAACATCAACCATGTTTTTGTCCATTGTGAGAAGGCACAAAATTTGTGGATGATGAGATGTGCTACAAATGGTAGGGTGTATGCTGGATTCCTACAAATTTTCAATCCAATCTGTGTCAATCACACTGCACTGCTACTCAAATTGTATCAAAGCAGAGGTGTGAGCATTCGTATTCTTTCTAGTCACTTGGTCAATTAATTTGGTTTACAAGGAACTCAATACTTCATAGAGCTGCTGTTTGGGAGAAGGATGTTTTTAATATGATTTAGAGGAGATCTTATGCGTGAATTCAAGGTAAATTAGAAAAACAAGTTTATGTTCGGTCAATGGTGCATGGTTCCAAAAGCTTGTGCAAAATGGTTGTAACTAACGAAGCAAAAATATAACCATCAGATTTTGTTTCTTTTCTTGTTATAATTGATTCTAGTTTCTTTACATTATGACAGAAGGAATGTAACGAGACTCTGGTTTTATACATTGCTTTTTCATTGATGTAAGGGATGAAATACCCTTGTATTCCAAAATTAATAAAACTATTCTTTCATAAAAAAATATAGTGTTTTACACGAGAGAAGGTATTTATATTTAAATTAGAGTCTCATAAAAAGCATAAAATGCTAAAATACAGCCAAATAAACGCAGAAATTGAGAGTTGCAACACGCTAATTAACCAAACAAGCTATAGAATTTCAACTTGGAGGGGAAACTGTTTGATTGACATCACAAAAGATCGATCAACCTTCTTGTAAATTGACTAGCAAAGGCTTCATTTTCCTTTTAAAGATTCCCCCAGAACATGTGGAGACAATAATTTCACAAATGAGGGGAAACTGCAACCATCCAAAAACCATAGTTGGAACGATGGCCGCCAAAATTATGGGAATTAACGCCCACAGTTGAACTTTTAGCATAATCAAAAGCGCAGCACAAAAGGTAACCATTAATGTTGCAATAGAAATAAAAAGAGTGGCAAGGCCGATCATCAACTTTAGGGGTAAGGACACAAGAAAATCTTCTTCAGCTTTGCGCGACGTTAGGATTCCCAAAAACATTAAACCTGAAGTAGATGCAGAAAAGAAGGATATTGCATCGGTTATTATAAATATCTTAAATAAGTTCTTGCCTAAGAGTATGGGTAACCCATTATTCTGATTGTCGCCGCCTGGAACAGTAAAAGATACTGCAAACATGATGGTAACAAGGAGAATGCTGAGAATAATAAAAGAACTTGCTGTGTTCGTCATCCATTTCTCCCCCTCTTTCACTAATTCCTTGTGGCTCTTGGTAAATACATCGTATGGAGTTTCACCATTATTATTTTTAGCTTCTTTGCACCACTCTGGAACAAGTCTTTCTACCTCCTGCATGCATGCATCCATTTCACAAAACTAGATTTTAATATTTTTTTATGAATTAAGTTTCATTTATAGAACTTACTTTTTTTTACGAAAGGTACTTATAGAACTTTGACTGTTCACGGATTATGTGTGAAACCATTTTGTGTTGAATGAGTTTTGGAGTACCCTTGTACTCCCATTAATTTTACTTAGCTAATCAAAAGAGTTTCATTTATGGAACAAATTTAAAAAAAATTTGTACATTCTATATGATATAAACTTCTGATATTGTAGTCAAACCTCGCTTCATCACTTTTATAGAAAGGAAAATGAAAAGAATTATTGTACTGTTAAACAAAATAATACTATAGTTGAGGGAGCAAGTGAGAGATTCTAACCTTAAACCATTGTAGTTCTCTTTGTATCTGCAATGCTGGACTAGAAATTCCAGCACGTTCAAAATCTGGAGCCAACCCCCCTGCCACATGTAAAATATTGTTCCCATCTATATCTTCTTTATTAAGAATTTCAGCCCACCATGCCTTATTAAGGCCATAAATGAGGTTGAAAACTTTTTCTTGCCGATACTGGACTGCAACCATGGAAGCGAGTCTGTTATCTTGATTAGTTATAAAACCAAATGATGGGTTGGCTTTCCATAGCTCAGTGACAAATTCATCTATTCCCCTCCTGGTAGCTTTAAAGAGTGCAGCACCCACTCCATAATCATCCCGTTGACAATTCGATTCAAAAGTTGATGCATTCTTACACATACAGCGAAGAACCTTACGTGCATAAAAATGCCTCAACTTTAAATCATGAATTTGTTTTATTCCTACATATACCAAGACAAGAATCAATCAACACATATAAAAATTCGAAGAATAGAAGATCTACAAGTAGAAATGCTAAAAATGTGAAGAAAAAAAAAAGTTTTAGTAGTTGAGGAGAAGTTACCAAAGAACTCTTGGACCTTTGAATCCAACCCACAAAATCCATCAAATACTGCAATAATGTTAATTAACCTTTATTAGACTTAAATCAATCTGAAGTGATTTTTTTAAATCTGAAAATCTACAATGATATTTTGTATTTAAGTAATTAATGTAATTATAACTACATGCCTGTATTAGGACCGTTTCCAATCTAATGATTTATTATTATTTTTTTTTGATCGGCCAATCTAATGATTTATTATGTTATTCAATCCTAAATAATAACATAATAAATCATGTATTATAAAACCTGTCAAGTTTTGATGTTTATGGGTTTAAGATACCCCTTGTACTCCGTTTATTAATAAATATTATTTTTTGCTGTTAAAAAAAAATTATGTTATTCAATCCTAAATAATAATTTAAATTATACAACACTTCTTTTAATTAATATATACCTCGTTTTGTAATGCTTCTTTCATCGTGGCCTTCTAGTTCCTCACTAGTGGGAGTTTGAACAGTAACATCAAGGAGTACGTCACTGGTAGGAGTGGTGTCGGGTAACTCTACCTTTAACCCTTTAATACATTAATTGGATCAATAGCCAGACAACAAAATTTTAAAATTAACCATATAAAATCGGAATAAATATTGACGCTGAGTCAGTTACTTACAATGATAAACCCATCGTTGCCAAAGCGAAAGCTTAGAACTATTATAAAATGCAGAAGGCTGACGAGACAACATAAGCATAGGAGACTCTCCTTGTGAATCGACACCAACAGCCAAACTTGGATATTTTTTTAGTAGATCCCAACAAATATCTAGTTTTTCAATTTGTAAAAGAAAAGCTAAACTAGTTACTCTTCTTCCCTTGGATCCTAAATTCCGACTGATACACAATAAAATAATAGTAGGTACGTTAAAGTTTTATTATTCTTACCGAACATTTTGTTAGCAATACAGCAGCGCATGAGATCGAATCCATGTTTGCCTTCTTTTTCCGGATCCAAGAGATTAGGAGGGGTCATTTTGTAGAGATAGTTTGTTATCTCCTTATGGCCAACCCCACATGCCCTAGTAAGCGGGATATTGCCTTTATTGTCTTCAATAGTAAGCAAATATATGTTCCGTTCAACTAGGAATTTTGCCAAGTTTGTTCTTCCCTCAAATGCAACATTGGAGAGAGCCGTGTGACCATCGTGATCCTTTTTTTTCAGATCTTCTCCTGACATCATCTTTGCCACTTCCTTGGCAATCTCATCTTCCTCGGCCTTGATTGCAACATGAAGAGCGTTTTCACCAAAGTCTGTAATTGCTGGAAATCGTCTACCCATGTTAGAAACAATAAACTCCTTTACAGCTTGGCAATCTCCATTGTAAATTTTCTTTGTCAACTCTACACATTCACGTCTATTAGTTTCTTCTACTGCACGCAAATATTTAAGATATCAATATGATTATAAAAAAAAAAAAATTAAGATATCAAATTATAATCGAATTATGTATACTTCAGTAAGCTAAGCCAGTGCTCTAACAACTCGGAATATATATCTCTTGACCAATAAAGATAAATCAAATCAAATAATACATCATAACAGTATAGTTGGGATTCTCTTCAAATTTAAGTTTTTTTTTTTATTTTTTATTTTTATACATTTAAATGAGTTATATAAGAGGGGATAGTCCTCTCCTTCTCTTAAATTCTTTCTCGTCTGACTCAAAATTTGAATTTAAGATTTTTAATTTGAAATCTCCAACTTAAAATCTTAAATTCTTAACTATTGAGCCATTTGATTAGGGTTTCTTCAAATCTATGTGTATTACCTTTACTCGGCCTCTCTTCAGGTTCCTGCTCTTCTGGCATTTTGGCTATTTGATTCCAAACATGCTTGGCGGACGAGCCGAACGAGATACCCTTTATTTCATGAAAAATATCTTGCGAACAGGTAGAAAGAATTGCATGTAGAGCTGCAGCATTCTTTTTCCTCCAAGTTCCCTCCTGAATATTCCCATATTCAACAATGTCCCAAGAATCTTGAGCCAATAAATAGTTTTTAATGTAAAGTTTCCAGTCTTCATAATTTTTTTTATTTTTTTCAAGAAGAAAAGGAACAATTGCAGTATTTAAGTTGCTGCAGCTTATTGCCATTTCAAATCTGTCAAATTAAAAAATAAAAGTATAATCTTAATTAGATCATAATCTAACATCTCTCTCCAATAAATAAAAAATTTTATTGTTTTACAGTATATATAGGGGTACCCTGACTCATAATAAATAATTCAAAGAACAACTTTCTTTACATGGTACTCCCTTCAAGTTACACATTCTGGCTGGCACAGTTGAAGGTTTGTTTAATGGTTACAATTGTAATTTAACCTTTGTAAGATTAAACGGGCAAGGAGAACAACAGTGTGTTTAGTTTTCATGATTAGCGTTTGCATCTTTAGGATTATGTGGCTGCAATTCGAAGGTATAAGGATAACCGCAAAGGATTAATTAAGGAGAAGGAATATAGAAGCTATATGAAGGCGCATGTGAACAATTATTTTATTTTATAGTTTTAACTATATTAGATTGTAAAACAGAAATGATTAGATGGAAGAGAGCCCCAATCTCAGATGAGGCAGTTTGTCATCCTATTCTCTAATTTAAAATAAAATATTTATCTTTATTGTGCAAAAGAAAAAAAACTATCATTATTGTATAATTCAAATTGCATTACAATTTTTTTATATAAAAATAAAAAAATATTGTATAATTTGAATTGTACTGGATTATATAATACTTATTATTGGTTAATGGGTGGATTTTTTTGATATTAAACAGTTTTTATTTTATAGTTTAAATGATAAAAAAGGAAATCAAAAAATTTAAATTAAGTAAAAAACTGAATTATATTTGTTTAGCATATCTATAATCGGCATATGACATTGACAAACTATGGAAATGCCGTTCCCATGAATTAGAGCTTGTGACAAGCCAATCAAAAACAAATGCAAACTAAACGAGGCTACGAATAGAGGATTTAAATAATGAGCATAACAATTGACATTAATACAGAAGCAGAACTGCAGAAGAATAGAAAATTAGCTGTACAGGTTGATTGATTTTGGTTTCCAATACCAATAAAAAATAACAATAAACTAGGCAATTGGCATTACCTGATGAAGAATATGCGAGTGAGATGAAAATTTATGCAAGGATGAGAGAAAGCAGCGTCAGGCGAAAGGGTGAGAGAACATCTACCAATGTGTGAGGGGGATGATTAGCTAGCGTTCTTGTAACTTGTCTATAAACTATAATGTTTAGGCTTAAATTAGTGCTGTATTGATAAAGTTAGCAGGTGTTAATTTGTTCCTTGCTTGGCATAAAAGTAAGGCGAAAAAAGATGGGGGAAGATTTTACCCTTAGCAATCATAACATAGGAATGAAAATAATATAATTATAATATTATATGACATTATTATAATTTTATAATTATGATTTATCATTATATAATTAATTTTTATTTAAAAATTTACTCATAATATTATATATATCAATTTATTTAATAATACATTATAATTATAAATTTATAATTTTATATACTTCGTAATATATTATAATTATATCATAATCCATGCCCACGAAGTTATTCCCAAGACATTAAAAAGAAAAAGTGATAGCTAGATTCTGTTTATTTTTCCCTGAGTTCTCCCCAGCTTGACGACTAATTAAAAATCAAAAAACAAAATCAGCTCCAAAGTCGATGGTAGATTTTCTGGCATCTTGATGTTTGTCGTATTATTCACTCCAAAGATCACCGCTGAGGTCCTATTTTTTTTATTTTTGGTTTGAACAAAGGGAAATGTGAAAAAGGGGAGAAAAACAAAGGCAAAAAAGAAAAAAAGAAAAAAAAAAAAGAACTCAGGTGGAATCCATGATTGCCATTTTCTAGTTGCAAGAATTCAGGTGGGCTGACAGGCTACAGGCACGCTCTGTGAACCTACAAAACTCCTTTACAACATCTCAATCTCTTCTGCAAATTCTACAAAGTAAGAATTTTCATTCATCTCATTTGCTTCACCTGCAATCCATGCCAAACATAAAATTAAGATATTATTCAAATTATACTTCAGTTTAATTAATTGAAAATATTCAATCGTACTTCTACCTGACGATGAGCCATCAGGATCAGTTAACTACTTCTTCCCCTGCTTCCGTAATCAAATTGGATAGTGATTGATAATCATTTTAATTTAACATATTGTATTACATATTTATTAAAAATTATTATATTTTAATTTGAAATTAAAAAAAGATAAATTTAAAAATACAACAAAGCATGCAAGATACATGAATCGAATGAATTGGTTGTACTTATATTATGTTTTTAATTATTACACCAAATAAATATCAAAAGATATATTGAGTTGAGTGTATACTAATAATTTACTTGATTTCACACCAGAAGAAACTCTTCCAAAAGAATTATTTGTGTAAATATAAAATCCATCCAAAGATCCCAGATCGATGCAAAATATTTTAGCCAACAAGAAAGAATTAAGCTAGAATATGTTAAAGAAAAATAAATGAAAGGAGCCGAATGATGAAGCCCTTGAGAGTGGGAGAGTCGGAACATAACAATCTGCAATAAAATAAGTTGCTATACACGGTGTGTGGGTCTTGGAGATTTAAAGTTAAAGAACAGAAAAGTAAAGAAGGAATAATACTTGCAATAAAATAACACTCAATTTCTTTGATGGTGAACACTCAAAGAATCCATTTACTTGAAAAAAAGAAAAAGAATTAGTTCCATCATCACAAATTAAAAGAGAATATTAAATTATTAGATATTGATTGATACACAATCTAATTTAACACATTATACAATTCACTACACAACATATTTATTAAAAATTTATTATTTTTTAATCTTAAAATAAAAACAGATTTAAAACTACAATTATGCATACAAAATGTAAGAATCAATTAAATTAACTATATTTATATTATATTTTAATAATTAAATCGAAACAACTATTAGAAATTGAACCGAGTGTGTACCAATTTTTTTCTTAAATTATTAGAACATTTTAAAGATAAAGAATAGAGAAGTAAAGAAAGAATAATACTCGCAATCAAATAACACTCAAAGAATTAATTCAATCATCACAAATTAAGGGAAATCATTTGAACGTTTTGAAGTTTTTATTTTTATTTTTTAATTTATTTCATTTATATATTATGCAATTCAAACTCATATTTTCACTGGAAGAATCAAGTAGGAAATAGGGAGAAAAAGAACCATGCTTTTCGCAAAACACATAAAATTATTCTTCACTCTTTAGTTACAGGGAGGCAAAACCAATTCAGCAGACAGTTGGCATCTCATGGGTCCTAGTACTGATGTGGCGGGAAAGTGATAAAGGGTTAAATGCCAATTTAATTCCTAAACTTTTCATAGTCCTTCTACTTAACAAATTCGACTTTTTTCATCATTCTTTAAGTTAAGTCTCATTTTGAATTAAGTTATTGACCATATCATAATTAAATGGCAAAAGAATAAAAAAAATATTTTTTAAGTTACGAAGTTTAAAAATACTAAAATATTTTAAAAACCTAAAATACTTAAAATAAAAAATTTAAAAACTAAAATTATCATTTAACCTTGATAAAACAAGAAAGTGTAACTGGACCAAGCAAGGTGCTTATGTTCGTTGGCTAGAAAAAAATATGGCGTAGGCTGGATATACTACACTTATTAAACGACTCACCCACTCCAACCTCAAAAAACTTGTCAAACCTGAGCCTAAGTGAACCAAACCTCATTCTTTGTTCGCTAATCCTCGAACTTGGCTACGGATTCTTAACCTCAGCCTCGTCCCCAAATTATTAACCTAAAAAAAGTGCAAGATTTCTTATAAAATTAATGAAATATTCTCAATAAATCAACGTACCAGAGAAATTTATTAAAAATATTTAAATAATTTTATAAAAACTTTTACAAATTTTTATATAGTCAACCTGAATTTTTTTTAATATTTTATATACTCTTAAAACCAATGATAAACTGCACCCGCAAAGCAGCCTTGGACTCACACAAAAGTAAAAACCAATGTAGCCAGCTTTATACAAGAATTAAGTTACAAAAATCGATCAATCTAGCATTAGAACTATTATGACTAAAAACATATATGTAGCCGGTCAGAGCAACCAGTTCAATGTGTGCTAATGAAAAATCCAGAAATAGAATCAGCTTAAAAGGCTGAAAATGCAACCAAACATTACCATTTTACATATATAGTGTACACGAGGGAGGGTACATGTATTCAAATCACAGCCTCACAAAAACCAAGAAATGTTAAAATACAACCAATAAAACACAGAAATTGAGAGTTCCAACACAACTAATTAACCAAACAAGCTATAGAATTTCAACCTAGAGGGGAAACTGTCCCAAAATTAAAGATGAATCAACTTTCTTGTAAATTGACCAGCCAAGGCTTCATTTTCCTCTTAAAGATTCCCTGAGAACATGTTGAGACAATAATTTCACAAATGAGGGGAAACTGCAACCATCCAAAAACCATAGTTGGAATAATAGCCGCCAAAATTATGAGAATTAACGCCCACAGTTGAATTTGTAGCATAATCAAAAGAGCAGTACAAAAGCTAGCCATCATTGTTGCAATGGAAATAAAAAGAGTGATAAGGCCTATCATCAACTTCTGGGGTAAGGACACATGAAAATCTTCTTCATCTTTGCGCGACGTTAGAATTCCCAAAAACATTAAACCTGAAGTAGATGCAGCAAAGAAGGATATTGCATCGGTTATTATAAATATCTTAAATAATTTTTTGCCTATGAGTATGGGTAATCCATTATTTTGATTGTTGCCGCCTGGAACAGTAAAAGATACTGCGAACATAATGGTAACAAGGAGAATACTGAGAATAATAAAAGAACTTGCTGTGTCCGTCATCCATTTCTCCCCGTCTTTTACTAATGCCCTGTGGCTCTCGGTAAATACATCCTTAGGGGTTTCACCATTTTTATTTTTAGCTTCTTTGCACCATTCTGGAACAATTCTTTCCACCTCCTACATCCATTTCACAAAACTAGATGTTAATATTTTTTATGAATTAAGTTTTATCTATAACAATTTTTTTTTATAAAAAAGTGCATATTATATAATATAAACTTTTGATATTGTAGTCAAATCTTACTTCATTTATATATAGAAGAAAATTAAAAGAAGTATAAATATTATACTGCTAAACAATTTTACAATACTATAGTTGAGGGAGCAAGTGAAAGATGATAACCTTATACCATTGTAGCTCTCTCTGCATTTGTAATGCTGGACTAGAGATTCCAACACGTTCAAAACTAGGAGCCAACACCCCTGCCACATGTAAAATATTGTTCCCATCTGAATCTTCTCTATTAAGATTTTCAGCCCACCATGCCTTATTAAGGCCATAAATGAGGTTGAAAACTTTTTCTTGACGATGTTGGACTGCAACCATTAAAGCGAGTCTGTTCTCTTGATTAGTTATAAAACCAAATGCTGGGTTGGCTTTCCATAGCTCAGTGACAAATTTATCAATCCCTTTTTTGGTAGCTTTAAAGAGTGCCTCACCCACCGCATAATCATCACGATGACGACTCAATTCAAAAGTTGAAGCATGCTTACACATACAGCAAAGAACTTTTTCTGCATAAAGATGCCTCAATTTCAAATCACGAATTTGTTTTATTCCTACATATGTCAAGTCAAGAATTAATCAACATATATAAAATTAATTAGTAGAATAGAAGATTTACAAGTAAACATTCTAAAAATGTAAAAAAAAAAAATGAAGAAAAAGTATCGATAGTTGAGGGGTAGTTACCAAAGAACTCTTGGACCTTTAAACGCAATCCACAAAGTGTACCAACTGCTGCAATAATGTTATTAACCGCTGTTATACTTAAATAAATCTGAAACAATACTATTCTGTATTCGAATAATTAATGTAATTATAAGCTTATAACAACATGTCTTGAGAAATTAATATATACCTCGTTTTCCAATGTTCCTCTCGTGGGGGCCTTCTTCGTCGTCACTGGTGGGAGTTTGGTCAGTAACATCAAGTTCTACGTCATTGGTAGAAGTGACAGTGGCGGGTAACTTTACTTTTAACCCTTTAATGCATTAATTGGGTCAATCTCAATAGCCCAAAAATAAAAATAAAAATAAAATTAAAACCTTTTTTTTTGCCCCGACATCCGTTAAGTGCTTATATGTCATATTTTCTCCATTAAATTTATTTTTAATTTAAATTAAATTACTTAAATGAAAAATGAACTCAAAACCTGACAACAACAACATAGAAAATTGGACCTAATGCTATTTACCAAAAGAAAAAAAAAAAAAAAAAAAAAGAAGGAAAAACAAATCAGCATCACCAACGTGCCAGAAATCTTATCTCAACCATTGCCGATGCCACCTCCAAGCACTCCGCCATCACCATCACCGCCGTTACCGCTAACGTTGAGCCCATCATTGAAACGGCAACCGAACACCCACCCGAACTCAGGGACGACCGACGACTTCGACACTTTTAAGCAGAATTGTGATGATTGGTGGTGGTGGTGTTACAACTACTGGTGTGGTGGGCTTTTCTCTCTACTGTTTTTTTGCTTCTCCCTGACCGATTTGACTAATAAGCTTAGTTCGTTCGGATGTGCGATTCTTTGCTGGCTGTGCTTTTTATGAACGTTTTTAACCTACGCAAAACCTCAAAAAGGGGAAATGAAATTTATTTGGTTTCTATTGTCATATTTTTGCGAAAAGGCAAGGGGAAATAGAGAAAATGGAGGAAAGAAAAAGAACTCGATCTGCAATGGGAAAAAAAACTTTAATCTGGAATTCTCTTCCCCTTTTATGCATAAAATTAATCCTAGAATCCTACCAAAAATTTCAACAAAACCCAATTACCCTTCCATTAAGTCTCTCAGATCTGAATCAATAGCTGGAAATTCAGCTTAAAGGAGACGCAAGGTTGGGTCTTTACTCTCTCTTCAGCATATCGGGTTCCGTTGAGAGAATACGAGGGCCGGGGTTCCTTCTTCAGAACCCAGATGGGGCTCTCTTGAAGGATGAAGAAGAATGAGAGGAAAGGGGACGAAAAAGAAAGAGGAAGAAGGAAAGGAGGAAGGCGGAGGAGAGAGAAAGAAAAAAAAAGGGTGAGAGAGCGAGAGCCACGGTGATGGAGGAGGAGGAGGAGGAGGAGGAGGCGGGAAAGGAGAGAAAAAAAGGGTGAGAGAAAATTGAGCAACGGTGATGGTGAAGAAGAAGAAGGGAGGGTAAACTTGTAATTGCCTGGATAAAGTAGGTCTCAATTTTATATGTTATTATTATTTTTCATTAGTTTTTAAGTAGTTCATTTCCCATGAAAGTAATTTAAATTAAATTAAAAACAGATTTAACGAGAAAATGTAATACGTGAGCACTTAGTAGATAAGGACTAAAAGGCCTGCATAAATAAATTTTAATAACTAAAAAAGAGTTTTACGTTGATTATAAGACAAAAAAGAACTTTTATTTAAAGTATAGGGACCAAATTAACATTTTAACCAAAAAAAGTCAAATTAATTAAAACTGAAAATATTAATGCTGACCAGTGAGTGCGTTACTTACAGTAATAAATCCATCGCTGTCTAAGTGAAAGCTCAGAATCCTTATAAAATGCAGAAGGTTGACGAGACAACATAAAAATAGGAGACTCTCCCTGTGTGTCGATGCCAACAGCCAAACTTGGATATTTTTGGAGTAGATTCCAGCAAATATCTAGTTTTTCAAGACATAGAAGAAAAGCTAAGCATGTCACTCCTTTGCCCTTAGATCCTAAATCCCCACTAACACACAATAAAATAGTAGTACGTAAAAAGTTTTGTTATATATTCTTACCGAACATTTTGTTAGCAATACAGCAACGTATGAGATGGAATCCATGATTACCCTTTTTTCCTGGTTTCAAGATATCCTTAGGGGTTACCTTGTAGAGGTAGTCTGTCATCTCCCTGTGGCCAACACCACATGCCCTAGTAAGCGGGATATTGCCTTCAATGTCTTCAATGGTAAGCAAACTTGGGTTCCGTTTGACTAGGGATTTTGCCAATTTTGTTCTTCCCTCAAATGCAACATAGGAGAGAGCTGTGTGACGATAGTTATCTCTTTTTTCCAAATCTTCTTCTGACATCATCTCTGCCAGTTTTTCGGCAATCTCATCTTGCTCGGCCTTGATTGCAACATGAAGAGCAGTTTCACCAAAGTCTGTAATTGCTGGAAATCGTCCACCCATGTAAAAAACAATAAACTCCCATACAGCTTGCCAATCTCCATTGTAAATTTTCTTTGTCAACTTTACACAGTCACGTCTATTAATTTCTTCTACTGCATGCAAATATATATTTATGATATCAATATGATTATAAAAACAAGTTAAGATATCAAAGTATAATCGAATTATGTATCCTTCAGGAAGCTGAGCCAGTACTTTAACTGGGAATATATATCTCTTCAATAATAAAGATAAATTCAATCAAATAAATAATACTTCGTAACAGTAAATATATTACCTCTACTCAACCTCTCTTTAGGTCCCTGCTCTTCTGGCTGTCTGGCTACCTGAATCCAAACATCCTTGGCCGAGCTGCGCAAGTCGAACTTCATTATTTCACGACAAATATCTAGTGAACAGCCAGAAAGAATTGCATGTAGAGCTGCAGCATTCTTTTTCCTCCAATTTCCTTCTTGAATACTCCCATATTCAACAATTTCCCAAAGATCTCGAGCCAATAAATAGTTTTTAATGTAAAATTTCCAATCTTCATAATTTTTTCTATCTATTTCAAGAAGAAAAGGAGTAATTGCAGTACTTGAGTCGGTGCAACTTATTGCCATTTCAAATCTGTCAAATTAACCCATTAAAAGTATAATCATATTAGATCATATTCTAACATCTTTCTGCATCTACATACTATAAATGATCCTAGATTCGATCATGCAGGAAACTTTTTTAATTTGATGAAGAGCAAGTAAAATGCCAGGCATAAAAGTCACAATAAATAATTCAAAGAATAACTTTCTTTAAATACTACTCCTTCTCAACTTCATGTTACACTTTTGGTTGACACGCTTTAGATTGCAACTATAATTTACAAATAATAATTTTGGTTGTCAAAATGTGAACTATCAAAATTAAAGATTAGAAGCTAATTAAATTAAAAATTAAAAATTAAAAATTAACATCATGTCTCATAAGTTAGTTGTTAGGTGTACTCATTGCCTTAATAATAATCAAGGTTTGAATAATAACCAAGGTTTCGAGTCATGACACTGCTATGCTATAATTCGTCATCCCCCTACCCCAAATTGTCTTTGTTCAAAAAAAAAATTAAAAATTAAAAAAAAAATTTATTAAGTGAAAATTTTTAGAATTAATACCCAAAAGAAAAAACTTAATTAGTTAATTAAACTTGTTTGTTCTAATGTAGGCTTTCTAAATTTTTCAAAATGACAAAACGACTAAATATATAAACTCAAGAAAATATCAAAAATTCAGGAAAATTATTGGTATACATTTTGGTTTGATACATCTTTTGATGCTAAATTAGTTTAACTATTAAAATATAATAAAAGTATAATCGATTTAATTAGTTTGTGCATTTTGTATATATAGCTATATTTTTAAATTTACTTATAATTAATTTTAGATAAAAAAATAATTTTTTAATAAATATATTAAATTGAAGGATATATCAATTAATTTCTAAAAATTCATGATCAATGCAAAGAATCCATAATAAGAGATAATATAGATCATTAAAATGTAAAGAAATCATTTTCGTAGAAGCTAATCATGCCTTACGTTCGGGATTAATTAATGGTTCATTATTGAGGAGAACCACTTGTTCAGAGGTCAACCAAACGTATATACTTCTTTTACAGAAATCATTATGATATGGCATAAAAACATAAATAAAAAAAATATAGTCAAGATTACAGCTTTATTTACTTACACTGGAAGAGATGGATGAGATGACCTAGTGTCCTTGTGAGTTGATTGTCTAAACTATAATCTATAGGCTTATTCTGTTGTTGTATTTATAGAGAATGCAGGTGTTCATTTGTTCCTCGCCAGCACA